GATGCCGCTTGACCTGCTGTGTTCATCCAGCTCTACACAATTTGCACAACAGTTTGATAATACTACTGGAAAGTATGACATTTCTGTATTTATTAATTTGAATACTATGTTACTGAACCACTCTGCAAACAATGTGACAGGAAAAAAGATTTTGAAAGAAAATAAAGAGTGATTTTGTTGGTTTGCTAGCTCTTTTAGTCGGGATTTTGCTGACAAACCAGCTTTATTGCAGCTATTTGGACTTAATAATCAATATTTTGATGCCAGAATTTAAATGGCTGTACTTCTGAGATAAAATGAATATTAGCAACATATTCAGCCATGAGTGGCTCACAGTGAAGTTAATCCAATCATCAATAATGCCTATGGTGTATGCCCATTCCAAAGTTCGTCACTGGATAACCATTAAGAGTGAGAATATTAGCTTATTTTTCTCTTCATTGACTTAGGGTGGATGGCATGAAATTAAAGCAGTCCAGCCAAGTGAGCAAGTACAATGCAGACCGAGGCTTAATTTTGGATCTTGGTCAATTGGGTGTGGGGTAGGCGATGGCCTAGTGGTATTATCACTGGACTGTTAATCCAGAGATCCAGATAACTTTCTGGGGACCCGGGTTCAAATCCTACCTTGGCTGATTTGAATTCAATAAAATATCTGGAATTAAGAATCTAATGATGACCATGATCCATTGTCGGGAAAAATCCATCTGGTTCACTAATGTCCTTTAGGGAAGGAAACTGCCATCCTCCCCTGGTCTGGCTTACATGTGACTCCAGACCCACAGCAATGTGGTTGACTCTGAACTGCCCTCCAGACAATTAGGGATGGGCAATAAATGCTGCCTGGTCAGTGACGCCTTCATCCCGTTAAGAATAAAGGAATAAAGAGTTTGGTATGCCAAATGTACATTCATACTGCATGGAAACAGGCCCTTCGGTCCAACTCGTCCATGCAGACAAAGTTTCCTAAACTAAACTAGTCCCACTTGCCTGCATTTGGCCCAAGTCCCTCTAAACCTTTCCTATTCATGTACCTATCCAAATATCTATTAAACTGTACCTGCACCTACCACTTTCTCTGGCAGTTCATTCCATATACACACCACTCTCCGTGTGAAAAAGTTGCTGCTCAGGTCCCTTTTAAATCTTTTTCCTCTCACCTTAAAAACATGCCCCCTAGCTTTGAACTCCCCTACTCTAGGGAAAAGACCTTTGCTATTTACCTTTACCTATGCCTCTCATGATTTTATAAACCTCTATAAGGTCACCTCTCAACCTTCTACACTCCAAGGGAAAAAGGTCCCAGCCTATCCTTATAACTGAAAATCTCCAGTCTTGGCAATATCCTGGTAAATCTTTTCTTTACCATTCTCCAGTTTAATAATATCCTTCCTACAGCAGGACAACTAGAACTGTAGATAGTATTCTAAAAGTGGCCTTAGCAACGTCCTGTACAAACTCACCATGACATTCCAACCCCTGTACTCAAACGTCTGAGCAATGAAGGCAAGCATGCTAAATGTCTTCTTAACCACACTGTCTACCTGTGATGCAACTTTCAAAGAACTATGTACCTGAACCCCGAGGTCTCCCTGTTCGACAACACTCCTTAGGACACTACTATTAATTGTATAAGTCCTGCCTTTGCTTGTTTTACCAAAACGTGATACCTTGCATTTATCCAAATTAAACTCCATCCGCTACTCCTCAGCCTATTGGCACAAACGATCATGATCCCTTTGTAATCTGAGATAAGCTTCTTCACTGTTGACTATCGCTCCAATTTTGGTGTCATCTGCAAACTTACAAACCATGCCTCATAAATTCTCATCCAAATCATTTATATGAATTACAAACAAGAACGGACCCCGCACCAATTCCTGTGGAACACTGCTGGTCACAGGCCTTGAGTCCGGAAAAAAATCCTCTACCACCACCCTTTCTCTCCTACCATCAATCCAATTTTGTATCTAATTGGCAAGCTCTGCCCGAATCCCATGTGATCTAACTTTACAAATTAGTCTATCATGTGGAACCTTGTCAAAGGTTTTACTAAAGTCCGTATATCCTTAAACTCAATCAAGTTTGTGAGACATGATTTCCCATGCACAAAGCCATGCTGACTATCCCCAGTCAGACACTGCCTCTCCAAATGCATGTAAATCCTATTTCACGGAATCCCCTCCAACAACTCAGCCACCACTGATGTCAGACACACAAGTCTATAGTTTTTAGGCTTCTCCCTCCAGCCTTTCTTAAATAAATGGAAGTTCAATCTAATATTTTTGGACCATACATGCAAACAAGAGTGAAGACAATGCAGACATTGTCCATTATAGCAGTAACAATAAAATAAACATGCAAATAAACAAAATTTAAAGGATCAGATTTTAACAAATACTTCAGACTCCAATCACCTTCATTTCTAGCTCTTGGTTTGCTGCAAGATGAACCAAGGGTTTTGCTTCCAATTCGGATATAAAATTGAACCAACCTATACGTGAAACGTAAAGATTACAATGTTAATTGGAAGAAGGTACTACCAAGTGACTTATTGGCAAAAAAAAACGTAAAACAACAAACAGACTAACTGACTATATTATGGGCAAATCATAAACTCAAATATGACAGAATTGGCAACAATTTGATTACCTAATTCAACCATAACAAGCTGTGAAATTACATTCTAGAAATCATGACCATGGGCATTGAGGGGGTGGGGTGGGGTGTGGATTATCATACCAGCTCAGCAAAAACTGGGACAGTGAGCAGTTAAAATTTCCTGAGTAACGTCCCTGCTGTTTCCCCACCTGGACCCGAGCAGGTGGGAAAGGCACCGCCTTGTGGCTGATGGGTCTTTCTCTACATGTACAGATTGTTAGGTAATGCAGCAGGAAAGCTGCTGCGGCTCGTAAATGAACTTGGACATTGTCAGCCCTTAGTACAAGGTATCCAGAACTCAGCACAGTGTGAGAACCTTTCTGGGAGAGAGAGTAGTAATGATGGTGGGAACAAGATAAAATCACACTGGGAAACTGTACTGTAATGTTCTTCAGAAATGGGTATTAGGGCACATGCTAGAACAGACTAGCAGGATCTTTATTCCAGATATAAGTACCATTTTTGAAAAAAAAACAACCTGTTTGAACATGTTATTACACTTCTGTGGCATTTGGGGCTTGAACCCAGGCTGGCTTGTCCACAGCTTGGAATACTACCTCTACATCACAAGACCTTCTATTCTCATGCGTATGCCATGTTTCTGGCTAACCTGTCTTAACATGCCATTGGATGATAAAACTTCTGCATTTAACAGCCCTGCCAATTCTCTGTTAAATGATACCAATCATTCAATAGTAGATGTAAATTTATTACCAGTGTCATTTTAAAAATGGGATACTCAGCATATTGGATTTTTAATTAGGTTTGAATATCATAAGGGCAAGTCCTTCCAAGTCTAAAGGTTCACATTTAGAACTTCAAATTTGTTTGGATTAGTATTTCCTAATGGTAACTAGACTGAGAAGCAATGTCAGCTGTGGCTGCGTTCATATCAAACACAACAGAAGTGGTAACTGCGCTTATCTGAATTGACCAGAACTGAGCACATTCAAAGGTTCAACTAACTCAATTTGGATTTGCAGACAATCTATAGACTGCTTTATGAGACAAAAATGTGGTTGAGCTTTTTAAAATAATGGATAAACAATTATATTCATACAGTATTTTCATGAAATACAGTGTACTCACAAAATGCTAACCGAGAACTCTTAATGTGAAATTGTTCTGCGACAAATATCAAATGTTGCTTTTAACCTGATGTTTGTTGTGTCAAGACTGACAGTTCTGGCCTCTCTTCCCCCAGGGCCATTGAAGTAGAGGGATTTCCCATCATTCAGTATCCCGCAGCCTATGCCAGTCTGTCCTCCTGTAACCTTGAACCAGAGAGGATTGAGCTTATCCTCAAAGCGATCAGTCATTTCACTGGGGTTTGATGTATTCGGCACACAAGTTCCCTCTTCAACTACAAGAGAATGGAGCCATGCATCATCAGTAGAAACAGGTTTCTGTATTAAACATTTTCAATTAAAGTAGGGTATCATTTCTATTAACTAAGTTGGAAACAGAAACACAAAGGAAAATAAAGAATTGAACCGGTTTCGGAAATATGTACCGCTAAAATACATACACTTAAAATCAAGGTGAGGTTACAATTTATCACTCGTGGATTCTTTTACTCCTCCACTCCTGCTGCACAAAATGAGAATTTAAAATACTCTGCAGAAATTTGTCTTGCTGTGTGATTAATTAAAACTAGTAAATGTACCCAGTGCATTGAAGGGGACATACAAAGTCCTGGTTGTTGAGTTGATTATTTTGAGTAATTTAATTTTTGTAAAATTCAGTAAAGGTGGACCTACCATCAGAACAGTGTCATAAAGCTCCTTTTATTTTAAATTAATGAGCTGGAGGTATTCATTTTAAAAGAGAAATGTACAGAGTTTTAATAATCATCCACCTAACTTAACTAACATTGCAGCACACAGTTCATTAACAAGCCTTTACATGTTAGTGTTCTGGCCATTACCTTCCTGGTGACTGACAACATGCTGACACTCAAAGACACTGATCACATTCAATCACTGGGTAGGATTTTCATTCGACTTGAGAATGGTTAGCAATCCAGTGTTGAATAACTCACCTCCTAACTCTTCAAAGCCTGTTCTACATCTACAGGCACCAGTCAGGGGTGTGATGCAATACTCCCCACTTGCCTGGAAGCGTGCAGCTCCAACAACACTCAAGAAGCTCAATACCAGCCACGACAAAGCAGCTCACTTGATTGGCACTAAATTCAGAAATATTCATTCCCTCCAATACCAACACTTGGTGGCAGCAGTGTGTACCATCGACAAGATACACTGCAGAAATCCATCAAGGCCCCTTAAACCTTAGCACTCTCCAAGCCCCCAGCAACCTCCATTTAGAAGGCCAAGGATAGCAGATACATGGGAACACTACCACCTGCAGCTTCCCTTCCAAGCCACATCATCCTGACATGAAAATATATTGCCGCCTCTTCACTGTCACTGGGTCAAAGTCCTGGACCTCCCTCCCTAACATCATTTTAGGTCTATCTACATGAAATGCAATGCAACAGTTCAAGAAGGTAGCTTAATACCACCTTCTCAAGGAAAATTAGGGATGAACAATAGATTCTGGCTCAGACAGTGAAGTGCTTTTCTTAAAAAGAAACAAAATCTACATTTTTCACCCCAAATCCAACTTTTGATCAGTGACCGCCCAGAAAAGAACACATTTTACCCTGGAGCTTGGCTCCTCAATTGTTTCCTGCAAATTTCATATGATGAGGCATTTCATATCTTTTTAGATTGCACACCTTAGTAGAACACATAGAATGTGACATTCATCCTGGGAGCAAGCACAAAATGACGAAAGTACAGGGGTACCTCATCTTATACTTCACTCAATGTTGAAAGGAGCAGGAAAACAGCTCGCGTGTACACCACTTTCCCAATTTGGTATTCTTGTTTTGGACTACTACCCTGTGCACTGAATTCCTGCATCTCAAATATCTTGTTACTGTAAGTAAAGTATGATTTAAAGCTTAACCTTATCAGCCACATATATATCTGAATAATAGGCAAAGCAGTCTCAGGTAAGGTCAGATGCACAATTTAACATGGCAATCTAAAGGTTGCTGTCTGAGAAAAACTGCTGTGCTATTAGTTTCATGAAAAACATCATCTCATCGTCTGGATGTGAATTCAAATTCAACTGCATTGAACACTATGAAGCTCCTGTATTTGGACAATAGACAAGAACTAAACTCACCACAGAAAATGAAATCTTCTATATTTCAAACAATAACAAACCTTCAAACAACATAGTAAGTATTAATAACAATCAGTCAACCTCTGACACAGAAAATAACCTATTAACTAAATGTAGAGTCTCATTCCATCAGGTTTTAATTACTTTTGCTGAAAAGAATACTTTTTTGAAACAAAATGTTGTTGTCTTTTTCTCCCTCTTAATCCAGTCTGTCTTCTCTTCATTTTTTTTTGACATATCTGATTTAACATTCAATTCACCCAGCTAATTTATCTTTTCCTAGTTCAGACCATGTGTTATTAATTTCACAATTTTTCAGTATGATTGATTAAGGATATACAAAGTTGCTTGAACAAAATCAGAAATTACTGGAAAAACTCAGCAGGTCTAGCAGCATTTGCAGAGAGAAAGCAGAGTTAACTGATGAACAGCTTTGAAGAAGGGTCAGTGGAGCTGAAATGTTAACTCTGCTTTCTCTCCACAGATGCTGCCAGACCTGCTGAGTTTTCACAGCAATTTCTGATTTGCTTCAAATTTCCAGGATCTGCAGTTATTTGGTGTTTTTACAAAGTTGCTTGCCCAGTTCACTCAAATCCCAGATGCCCCATTGACGTGCCACTTCCGTCTCACGTTTACAGCAACTTGCAGTGCAAAAAATTGGCAGCATTTAATGGAAAAGGTTTCATGAACATTTTTCAATCCTCTTGATGACACTCATTCTTGAAATAATTCCTCAGCGGAAAGAATCATCCTCTGAGAAATGTCATTGCTTGTTTTGGATATTTTTGTCCTGACCAAGCAGAAATGTCTACCCTACATGTAGCCGTAACATCTGGCAATGATTAAAATCTTGAGATCATTGCTGTAAATACGAACATACAAACTAGAAGCAGCAGTAGACTATTGGGTCTCTTGAGCCTGCTCCACTGTTAACTTCTGTTTTAACAATATTTAATGAGCTTGCCTTCACTATGTTCTGAGGGAAAGAGTTCCAAAGTAATAAAATCCTCAGAAAGAAAGAAAATTCTCATCTCTACCCTGTAAGGGTGACACCTAACCGGGAAACAGTGGTCCCCATTTCCGGACTCACCCATCAAAACCAAAACATTTGCACTTTAGTTCAAACAAACAGCTTTTGGAAGCAAGCTTACCGATATAGCCGACATCACAGAAGCAGACACCCGAGATGCAGTCACCATGCCCACTGCAATAGTTAGAACAGGGTTCGGAGATGTAAACTTCATCTAAACCAAATGCAGGTGCATTCTTGTGGACACTGGTCTCCTGAAACCAGCGGAATCGAGTCTTACTGTAATTCAACAAAACAGTGAAAGAAGCTGAACAAGTGCAATGTAGTCACAAATATTTAATAATTATTGCTGGAGTAGTAAAAATGTTGTTGTGATTTATCAGTAGTTTATAGTTCAATATTATTCCATGATAGTGGAATTAACATTGTAGGCATTAGTTTCTTGTTCAATATGAAAATTCCTCTGCAGGTACTTCAGTCTTACATGCTACAACACATGGACTAACAGGTGTCCACGTGTAAATTCTTGGTAATGCGCCTTCTAAGCAGCAGGCTGCATACATGACCTTGCCCAAGGCTTTCCTACATTTTATACACTGCTGACTGCAGAGATGGAGAGAGAGGCAGCAAAGCTTGTCTTTTTTTCCCAGCAGATTATAACCAAAGGAGCGGTTGCTTTTCCTCCAAAGGCCTCGAACCAGACCAGGGTGATAACCTCACTTCCCAGCTGTCATTTGCAAGTTTCAATCAACCAGCTCGTGTTTGCCTCTTTAGTTGCATGACAACCTTTCAAGCCTGACTTTGAAGCATTTTCAACTAGTTCTGTTTAAGCAGTCAGATTGTGTTTTTAAATAGGACTTTAAATGCATTACCCCACCAACATGTTCAGGTAAACATAAAACGTTCCATGGTAGTATTCAAAGAACAACAGGGAGTTCACCTGATCTATATTCATCATTAAGCCAGCACAATTTACCTGGTCATTAATCTCATTGCCATTTATGGGAGACCATATAGTACAAAAATTAGTTGCCACCACACCCCCCTTCCCACTTGTGATGAAGTGGACGTGGACAGAAAGGTATTATTCTGTTTCTTGCCCTACTTTCTGAACTAAGAAACGAAAATTGCATGCATGTACATTTTAACACAGGAATAGAATTAAAATAATTTAAAATTCCAAAAAAAGATATTCTTTCAGTGTGTTACTGACATTAAAAATAATTAATTTTTAAATGCATTTAACTGTAGATCACTTAAAAAGTTTGAAAGTTTAGCTTCACCTCAGGTGAAATGGTTACAAAACCAAAATGTTGTCAGGATAGGAGCTGCAGGTAGTCTTAGACCATCAGATGTTTGATCTATTTTCAATTTGGTACAGGGTCTTACAGTAAAATTTCCCCATCATATGCTGAAAATCAGCATGTCACAATGTAGTGGTTCTTTAACCAAAATCTACTGCTCCATTTTAAAGTCAGAGGACAATTTCCAAGGATTGCATTAAAAAAAAGAAAACATTTTATCTTTTTCATTCCTCTTGGAACCTGCGTTCACTGGCTGCATCAATTTTTATCCAAACACTGATACCTGAACAAGACATTGATTCATTCATAAATAAGGATACTCTAACTATTAGAGAAGATTTTATTTAAAGCAGTGAGGAGGGATCAACTATTCACTTTTAATGCTATAGTGAGCTCCTTTCTTCATTAGTGATCATTGGTTAAATTTTATTTATGTTGGCTGTTGATTTTAATGTAAAGCTACATTGAATAGATGACAAAAAACCAGGCCATTGAGCCCAATGATTCCTTGACACCATCCCCCACCCATCCATCTGACTGTGCAAGCATAACAATAAATTCCTGTCTCTCTTGTGTGTTTATCTGGCTTCCTGTCAAATGCTGCTCACTTCATTTACTCTCTGCGTTAGCTGAAAAATAACATTTCTCACACAAACCTGGATGTGACAGATCTCGGGATAACTATTGTGACTCTTGTCCATGTTTCAAAATCTCCTGTGTAGAAAATTGTTGATTCTCTCAGTTCTCTTGAGCTTCCCTCACAGCCTTTGACCCCAGGAGATGCTGGGTAGCAACCTTCTTTTACCAATGACCAAGATCTGCCAGCATTATGAGAGTATTGAAGGAGGACAGGAGCAGTGCTACTGAACTGACACTCACATCCGATGTTCAACTGGAAGGATCCAAATATGACAAGTTAAAATAATTTTGAACAATAAGTCTTAAAATGTTATAGGAGAGTCATGTAACTGTATGTATGCATAACAAAGGGAGCAAAGTAACTCGTTGTACAATATGTCAATAGCTATAAAATTTTTGCAAAGTTAGTGCCAGGTACACTCTTTCATTTTGAAATGATAAAATATCCAGTTCCATCAAATTTTGGCCTGCTTAACTTTCTGATAGTGCCAAGGGAATATGAGAGAAACTCCTGTATGAAGTGAATGGGCATCTCAATCTCGTGTGTGTGTGTGTGTGTGTCTGTGTGTGTGTGTATATAGATGGCACTAGCACTGCTACCTTTCAGCGCCAGGGACCCAGGTTCAATCACATTCTCCCCATGTCTGCGTGGGTTTCCTCTGGGTGCTCCTGTTTCCTCCCACGATCCAAAGGTGTGCAGGTTTTAGAGATGGGGTGGGTCTAGGTGGGATGCCATTCGGAGGGTTGGTGTGGACTCGAATGGGTTGAGTGGCCTGCTTCCACACTGTAGAAATTTTATGACGAGCCTGCAGACCTATGAAGGATGAATCCTGCATGCAATCACTTCTTCAATGTTTATTGAAGTCAAAGTGGTGCTACAAGAAATTTGTCTGAGGGGATTTTCCTTTTATTTGATTTCACTGCAACGTATCATTGCAGCTTACCTTCAAGAAAGTCAGATAAATTTCAAGGCCCAGCAAAAGAGCTATGTATATAAAATGACTTTCTCAAGCTCAGGATGTGCCTTAATGAATTCATAGCTAATAAAGTGTTGTAACTTTGTGCAGACTGAGGAGCATGGTCCCACAGATCACAATCAGATGAATGGTCGGGGTGTTTTTTCGCAAAATTAACTGAAGGATTAATGTTGGGGTGACACTGAAAGGTTCTATTGGATTTTTTGCTTGAGGGGACAGATGAGACCATGGTTTACTGGCTCATCCAAATTATGGCACCACTGACAACAACACTCTCCCTGTGTTGCATGAACAAATACTCAATGGATTGATTTTGAAGCCACGAATCTCTGCCTTAGGCAAAAGGGCCACTGCCAAGCCAAGCCAAGGCTAACACAAAGATGGCAGTTTCTGCCCTTCAATGGATCATCTACATACTGGGCCTTACATTAGAGTTCAAACCTCTGCATTGCTTGTTTTTTTCCTTGCTGTGCCTTGAAATTTACCTGCCTCCCTTTGAAAGCATGTTGCAATGTTGGCTGATGGTCATGGCACTGTGAAATGACATAAAGGAAACAATCCCTCAGATGTATCTCATGCAGCTCCCCCTTGACTTCAGCAGGTATCAAGGAGGGCTGTACTTTACTGGGCTGGACATACATAACTGCTCACTTAGTGCCCCGTTCTCTTCACTTTTGTCTGGTCTTTTAAAATTCTGGTTTCTTTAGTCTTGGAAAATGCTGCTTGGTGAGTTTTTTTTTAGATGTTTTGCTCTTTAAAATCTGTCTAAATCTTTCCAATTCACCAGTTTATCAAGTGGTGACTGTGCTCACAGGACAGGATCTAAGAAACCAAAAGAGGGGTTAAAGACACAAAAAAAATTAAATATAAAATAAAATAATGAAGCTAACATCTTATGTGTGTGCTGGCACAAGCACTGAGGACCTATTATATCTTCAAAGTTAATATTTGGAGTTCTAAGGTTGCACATAAAACTATTCTGATCTTTGAGAGGTAGGGCATGCCAAATAAGTACACCAGGAAAAGAGTGGTGACAAAATAAAAGATAATAATTAAAATAGGCAGTGCTCTGAGCTCATTTCCCAAAATATTGCAGGCTAGAAATTAACACATGAACACAAAATGCATTAAGTGACAATCTTCTACCACTATATTAATGGGTATGTTAACTTATTTATTAAAAAGGTTAGAAAACATAATTTAAATACGGGGTAGAGGCAAGTCAATGAAAAATTTAATCATTAATTTGCTACTATTTCCCTTAATTCAAAATGTAGGAGTTCAACCCTTTAAATATTGTTTGCATAGAAAATGTACTTTGAAATACATGTAATATTATCTTTGTAAAATATAAATTATGAATTGTGAGGGGGTTCCCGATGGCTTGTGATCACTGATTGAAACAATATTTCAATAATGACTGTAATATACAGCCAAAATGTGCTTTCCATCATCCTTACTGTTCTTTTTGTTTGTTAATTGCAGTTTGCTCAAGACTGCATTGAAAAAATATCAACATTTGTGTAATGAAGTTATTTTCTCTCTCTCTCGTTGCATCACTAGTCTAAGAGGCACCACGAGGTGAAAAACTAGCAAGATTGAATAATCCAAAGGGTTTACTTTATTGCTTGGAATCTCAGGCTGTAATTCTGAACCTTAGGGAAAACTAATCTGCGGTAATGAATCAGCTAGTAACCTCTGAAACCTTTTATTATTTTACAAGCTTTCAATTATTCAGTTCCTACCTACTATAAATTGATCAGAAGTTCTTAAATGGTTCATTATTAGTTTTAAATTACCAGTACATGGCAAATACCACCCACAACAAAGATTTCATTATTGCAGCAGTTTAAAAAAATCAGACTGAGATACAGAACTCCTTCTGCCAGTCTATCCAAGTAATAAAGACAATCTGACAGACTTTGAAGTACTACTACTTACTATGACAATTTTGGTCAAAAGTATTTTTGTTAGTAAAGCATCCTCCAATTTTAATTACATCTTCCCACCCTGTTCCAATAAACATCTATTTCCTTCTAATGCACACGAGCACTAAATGCATCAATATATCTGTTTCAACTATTCCATAAGGCAATGAATGTTACAATTTCAGTCTTTTTATAACAAAATTTTTCTAAATTATTTGCTGTTGATCCCTGATGGAGATCAAGGGTTACGGGGAGAAAGTGGGAGAATCGGGTTGAGAAACTTATCAGCCATGATTGAATGGTGGAAAAGACTTGATGGGCTGAATGGCCTACTTTCTGCTCCTATGTCTTAATGTCTTATTTATACCTTTTTCTAGATTCACCGTAACTGGAAACAGCTAATGCAAATCAAGCCTAATAAACCTTGTCAGAATTAGAAAGATATTCACAAGGTCCCTCTTAATTTTCTCTTTTCGGAGCAAGGATCCCCTGACTGTTTAATCATTCTGAATAGTCACATCCATTCAGTTTTGGTAGGTGCCTTGTAAATCTGTGTTGTCCTTTCTCCAATACTTCAAATGTCTTGGTGTAACAAAGGACTAAGCCTGCGCACAACTTTCCAAGTGTGTTTTTTTATTCATTCATGGGATAAGGGTGTTAAAGGTTAGGCCAGCATTTATTCCCCAACCTAAGCGTCCTTGAGAACCTGCTATCTTGAACCATTGCATTCCACATAGCGTAGGGACATCTGTTTCAGCTTTCTGACCCAGCAACAGTGAAGGAATGGCAATACAGTTCCAAGTCATGATGGTGTGTGGCTTGGAGAGCAACTTACAGGCACTGGTGTTCTCATGCATCTCCTGCCCTTGACCTTGCTTTATGGTGGTGCAGATTTAGAGTTGGAAGGTGCTTTATGTGTTTTACATCTTGTGATATTAGGACAAAATTCCTTTGTCTCCTAAGTTGCTCATTTTGAATAAACAGATTAAAACATTTAACATCTCTGTTAAAACATTACTGAAAACAAATTTCATGCAAAAACATTGTATTTGTTGTAAATACTGCAACATAATTCAATCTTGTTCAGTTTTGTCAGACATTACATAATGTTGATTAAACACGGTTTCTCCTAACTTCAGCTGTACTGTCACTGTGGAAAACATTTGGCCCAGAAAATATATTGGATTTACTGCAGCTGAAAAATCTAATCCTTTTCTTAACTTAATGGCGGATGAAAAACATTGCAAATTTGAAGATTTAACTATTTTGAAGAGATTCTCTTTGTACTCTGTCCAGCATTACTAGCTCACCCAATACCACTAAAATAACAGCCATATTGTTCATTAATGTTAATTGTTGCTTGTGGGATCTTATAGTGCTCAAACTATGTTTTGCCACACAGTACTTCAAATATAATTCATTTGAACTATTTTAAGACATTTGACAGCAAACGAAAATGCTATATACACGGAATCTGACAAAGATATCACACAGAGGGAAGCCACAAGGCTCCTTGTGCCTTTTCTGGCTCTCAGGTAGAAATATTCAACTAACTTTTCTCACCTGTTCTTTCTCTATAGCCCTCCAATCAAACTTCAAGGGTCTGTCCATGTACACGTAAGTTCTTTCTTAATTTAGCCAACTACAGGCGAAATTGCCTCCCTCCCCACCGGAGAAACACGTTTATTTAGTCGATAGGAAAAAGTCATAAAGTCATGAGACATGAACCAAAACAATAGCTGTCTTTCTATTTTTCTTTTACTCTCTCTTTTGCTCTGTATGCTCTTCACACTCCTCTTTTCATCATTGAATGTCACTTTGTATCTGCTTTTCTCTTCCACTCTTTCTCATCCTGGTCTTCCCAAAAGTCTATTCTTCTGTTTGTGCCAAATGGTGTTTAGATGCAACTTTCACATTTTCTGACAAATCGTGTGACATATTGAATAATGAAGGTGTACAGAAATTATTCAAATGTAACCGAATGGAAATAAGAAGCCCCACTGAGTTGGTGGAGAGGGAAGGTATCAAAACATCCAGGATGGTAGTGAGGGAGTGAAAGAGGCCTGTGCATTGAAAAATGCAGAGCTTCCGACACAAAATGAATACCTTGAACTGAAGTAAATATCCAGGTTTGAGAGTCAGGTCCCGTGTCACAGCAACCCGATCGCCATCCGATTTCCCAAACACCATGGCTGAGGGGGTCATAGAACAGAAAGTCTCGTTGCTACCCATTCCCTCATTAGCTAGCATCAGCCAAATGCTCAGCTGACTCAGCGGGATATCATAGGAAGGTGTGTAATCCTGAAATCCAAGTGAGAAACAAAAAATATATTAAATCATACACAGCAGCCCTTTATATTCCACAAAATACAATGCAGAAATAAGAAATTGTATGAGTATATGAGTATATGTTATTGCTGCCACAAAAAAAAGGACCTGTGTTTTAAAGTTAAAGGAGAGCTGTCAACACATTTCACAGTTTGTGGTTTAATGGTTTATTTGCTTAGAAATGAGAATTTAGATGATCCTTTTTACGTTGGTAACACTGCAGCAATGTTCCAATTAAGCAACTGGCTTGGTTCAAAATTCAGTAATCAGTCTGCAAAGTGGAGCTTGTAAGCCAGCAGTGAGCTGATTAATGTAAAGTTGCTTTCAAATGCAATAAATCCTGTTGAGTTGCCATTTGATGCTGTATTATTAGGAATTTGAAACCAGATAATATTAGGATAACACATGTGTAATAGATAGATAAGCTTCTTACTGCATTATTTTTAACTGTTTCATATTCAACGTGCAATGGAACAGATGCACGAGTGGTCTAAGGACATTCTTGCAAGGCATTCTTGAACGCCCATCTCTAGTAAATATACCTGAATGTCACCATTTGTATACTGCAAAAAGCAGAATGCAGTGTTATCTCTGAAAATGTGGATTTTCACTGACAAAAGTCCATACTGCAGACAACCATCAAGTCACTGGGGTCTTCAATGTGCCTCTGCTATTGGCCACAAATATTTCCGCCTTCAAGGCACTCTCTGGTTTTGATAACGATCCTTTAAATGTATTTTTAAAATGCTCCTGACAGCAGTCACATTCAAAAATTTGATTAACTTCAGAAGAAAAATCAAAAGTGAAGTCGGGCTTTCTTAAATGACCAATGATAAGTGCCATAAATGCTGGTGTTTAAAACAGAGCTTCTTAAAGTTTGGGAAGCCTGTAATATATCAGACTACAGAAAGCTATAGCAACATAAACAGGGAAAGAGCAATACAGTAGTACAAGAGGTCCCTAATCTCTGCGTCCTGAGTAAGATCTTTTTACCTGCTCTCAAAAAGAAACCACCTTGCAGTGAATAGATTTCTTTATTGAATTGTGTGATGGAACATCAGGGACAACTGGATGATTGATTACGTTGCTGGGCTGATTATTATAACTTCATTCTGTTCTGCATGATGATTTATATAAATCCAAGTTGGTATCCTTCATAGTCAAAGTAATGGGCGACAGTTTTGAGGAATGAAACAGTTTCCACTTCTGACAGTCAACAGTTGTACTGAGCACACATATTATGAATAGCAGCAACACTCTGCCTCATCCATAGAAAGAATGCCCCCATTGCATTGCTATGGTATTCTGCTACCATATTGGTAAATATAGGTTATCAAATTCTAACTTCTGTCATCTGACTTTTACCACTTGTGACTTTTCATTGACCAATTTTTTTTTTTAATTCATTCTTGGGATGTGGACATGGATGGCAAGGCCAGAATTCCATGGTAGTGAACTGCTGCAGTCTTTGAGGTGTCAGTTCACCTTCAGTGCTGTTATGGAGGGAGCTCTGGGATTTTGACCCAGTGACAGTGAAGGAATGGCGATATATTTCCACATCAGGATAGTGTGTAGATTGATGGGGAATTTGCCGGTGGTGGCATTCCCATGTATCTGCTACCTTGTGCTTTTGGTGGTACAGGTAATGGGTTTGGAAAACGCTTTTGGAGGAGCCTTGATGACTTTGCTGTTGCAGTGAATCTTGTAGATGATACAAAATGTTGCCTTTGTCCGTCAGTGGTGAAGGGATTTAATGTGGAACGTGGTGGATGGCATACCAAGTGAGAAGACAGCTTTGTCTTGGATGAACCCCTGCATTCCATTTGTTGTAGGTAGATGCACAATGCTGTTATGGAGGGAGTTCCAGGATGTTGACTCAGTGAAAGTGCAAGAACAATAATATATTTCCTAGTGAGAATGGTAGGTAGATTTGTGGAGTGAGAGGTTGATTACTCACTGCAGAATTGCTCACCTCTGACCTGCTCCCTCAACTCTCATTTCCCATTGGCTCCAGTGCTAGGGCTCCTTGATGTCACACTCGGTCAAATGTTGCCTTGATGTTAAGAGCAGTCACTATCACCTCACTTCTGGGATTCAGCTCTTTTGTCCATGTTTGAACCAAGGCTGTAAAGAGTGGCCCTAGCAGAATTCAAACTAGGGGTCACTGAGCAGGTTATTGCTAAATAGGTGCTGCTTGATAGCACTGTTGATGACATTTTACAGAGGATCGACAGTAGACTGATAGGGCACTTGGTTCTGAAGGATTTTTACTGCCCTTTGTGGATAGGACATGCCTGGGCAATTTTCAATGTTACTGTGTAAATGGTGGTGTTGTAGCCGTACTGGAACAGCTTTGCTAGGGTTGTGGCTAGTTCTGGAGCACAAGTTTTCAGTACTATTGCTAGGATGTTGTCACACCCACAGTCTTTGCAGTATCCAGTGCCTTCAACTGTGACTTGACATCAAGTAGATTGAATAGAATTGGTTGAAGACTGGAAATTGTGATGTGGGGACCTTAGGTAAAGGCCAAAACGGATCATCCTGAGCTACTTCTGGTTGAAGAGGATGCATCAGACTTGTCTTGATATTGATGTGCTGGGCTCTCCATATCACAAAGGATGGAACTATTTGAGGAGCATCCTCCTCCTGTTAGTTGTTTAATTGTCCACCATCATTCACAACTGGATATGGCAGGACACTGAAAATGAGTTCTGATCAATTGGTTGTGGGATCAATTGGGTATTTATTGCATTCTTTCACTGTTTAGCATGTTTTGCTTCAGCAGGCTGACACCTCATTCATGCCGATGCCTCTTACTGACCCTGCCATGCCCTCCTCCACCCTTCCATGACCTCCTGTATGGATAGTAACAGTGGGGTGGGTGATATGCTGAGCCGTGAGGTCATAGATTGTGGTTGAATATAATTTCACTGCTGTTGATTTCAGTAGCTACTTTGAGCACAAGAGAAAGAAGAATATAGGTTCAAAACAGCAGAATCTATTCTGTCTGTCTGTCTGTCTGTCTCTCTATCCCTGTTCCTAAACATCTCAGAAAATAGCAAGTGTGAAAAAGCAACTTGGAAAGATGACCATTCACCAAGCATTCAAAGATATCTACAAAATGTGGTACAATTAAACTACCCCAGGTTCCAAATCTAATGTTTTGTGGGCTGTAAAGACTAAAGCTGCACAGTTTCTATTCTCATGTACCATTCTCACCTTTTTGAAAAAAACTTTTTAAACAATTTATGCATGTGTTTAGTGATGCAATTAATTTTTTTTTCTTGGGGTTCATAGGTAATAAAATTCTTCTTTCTTTCACTTATAATTTGTTCTTTCATTTTGCCAAAGTCGTGTTTTCATTGAAGTGAGACAGCTGAATGCTAAAAAGAACTCAAAATATTTGTTGTGACCAACCTGAGGGGATTAAAAGAAGGGAACTGATTCCTCTCTTTGCAGCTGGTCGTAACAATTCCTACACCAGGGCCGATATCATTGGATCAGGCTGATATTTTTATTCACAGATCATACGTCTAGTGCCAAAAGTACATTTAACGGCAGCAATCCATGTCCTTCACTTAGCCTACTCTGAATGGCGTCTCTTGAACCAGTGATTGGGAAGCATTATGTTGCTGCTTCACTGATTGAATAAACTAATAAGGATCTGCTGAGCTCAGGAAACCATGCCATTAGCTAGTAATACCACTTAACCAGGAGAATTTTGGGTTTCCATGATATTATAGATCGGACTCCTGATTTTCTGTTGGCATTTCAGGCTGCAGTGGGCAAGCTGGGAGATCAGCCAGTGAACTGTTACAATGGCTTCCAGCAAAAACACTCATGCCTGGTATTTTCCCACCGAACGTGATAACGAACGTTAATTGTGTCGAACAAATGTTGGCACGTGTATTCAAAATAGTTGGCAAAGATAGTTTAATGAAAAGCATATTTTTAAATCTCCATTGCAATTCTGTACTCAAGTATACAATAAGTGTCCATGATATAATAATAGGCATGAAAAGATGTAAATTTGAAACCCATGCATTGAAGCAGCTGGCAATATTGTACTGCAGCCATCTGGTTTAGGTATAACATGTGACACACACTGTTGTCATCGGGTGTGAATGTTTAAGGCAGTGGATGGGGTTTTGATCAATTAGGTTGCTTTGTGATGGATGTTATCAAACTTGTTGAATATTATTGAAGCTGAAATTTTTCCGGCAGATTGAAAGTATTCCAACACACTTCTCATTTACGCACTGTGGATGATAGACCAACTTTCGGGAGAGTAGGGAATTTACTTGTTGCAAGACTCCTAGCCTCTAACCTGCTGTTAAAACGACAGTAGGTATGTGGCAGGTCCAGTTTAGTTTCTTGTTAATATTAACCCCCTGAGATATTGATAGCCACAGCAGTGTTTTCTCTAGCACCCACTGACAGACTCAGCAGACTCCCAATTACAACTCAGCTCACCAGAAAATAAAGTGAAATTAATCAGGTCAGCAGTGACCAATACCAACGGGCCAATTTTAAACCAATCGTCATCTAGAAATTTTCCATTTCTAAATTAGCTGCAGTTGAGAATGATGTCAGCCTCCTTTAACTACTCCTTCTGTACAAAAACTCTGATGACTGGATTTGAATACATGCTCAAAATGAAATCTTCTTGGGTGCAGAGAAGCCCCTTTAAATCTTTCATTCCACTCTGCAGTGTGACAGACTGAATCTCATGAGGCATTAGACTGTGAATTGGTGGAGGATACTGACAGCAGGGAAGTTCAGGGAAACTCAGGGAAACTTTTCACTGCCAGTTGAAGGTCAAGGGGGACAGAGGAGGAGGGCCAGGTGTTGGTAAAGCTGTGAACCACCAGTGAAACTCAATTTGACGTGCTTCATTCATCACACTTGTTTTTCTACATCATCAGGTTGGGGAGCCAATTGACTGTATTCCTGTTGAAGTGGGCAGGAGTGTT